CCTGCCCAGGGAACCACCTTGTCTAGCGTCTACCCTCTGTCTCACACTTTAGACACCTAAATCTTTTTCTAAACAGAATAATACAAATGAATTATTAGAGTGAAAATGATTTTTTTTTAAATCTCTGCAATTTAAAACTCATGGACACCTTTTGTTCCATCAGAACATGTTAACTCTGCCCTCTGTATGTAAATCAAAATTGTGAGTTCAAGGTGTGTCAAACATTGAGTAGTTTCACCTATATCACTGTTGTTCCATCTAAAAGACTTTTGCTGCAAGCTAATCTCTTTAATTTGTAAAACGACATGCATAGTCAATTTAAACATTCTAAAGCTGTAGAGGGGCAATACAAGAGAAACTGAGAAATTATTAGTCAACAAGTATTTAAAATCATAATAAAAACACTTTAGGAACTTTGTACATTGTACAAAGTTAGTTTATATGACTATTGCAAAGACCAAGTTTCCAATTTCAGAATGCTGAAAGCAACCATTTAACACAACCCTAGGGGGAAGGGGGAATCTGCATTTCTCTTCTGCACTTCTCTAGTGAGTTTGATTTCCAACATTCATTTTTCAACCAGTAGTTTTAATAACATTAAGCACTATTCTAAAGAAATGCTCAAGGACATAAGTGGAACCTTAAATGAATTCCTCAATATGGTTTCTGTGCACTTAAAACATCTCATAGATAATACCTCCCTCCAGCAAAATACATCCTATTACAAACAAATTGCTTTTATCAAGTTCTAAAGGAAACAGTTCAGCCTTTTCTAAAGCAACAGTTCTGTTTGCTTTTGTTCTTAAGCAACTAACATCAACTACAGAAGGGTTATTAGCACAAGAAAAAGTGCCCAAATCCTTTCTGTTGCTAACATGAACGCACACTAGGAACAGTGTATGGAAGATCTCCATTTTTAGATGTCTCTGCAAAGTAAGGCCTTTGCTAAACATTCCTATAAAATCTAAATAATTTGCATTTGGGGGAAGAGGGGACAAAGATACCGTAATACCCTGAAATACTGTACTCCACATGCTGCATCTTCTAACTGGCTATTGACTCAAGGTACAGAGCACAATTTTAGATCTCCTTCAACTGAACAGCCCACAGTGTATACAGAGCACTTTAAAAAACCAAAAGCTTTGTACCAAAAGTTCTTTCTCTAATATCTATCTGTATTAACCTCTTGTTCATAATGAAATGCCCCAGCAGCTAGCAGAGCCAGCAAAGCCTCCCTCCTCTCACGCATGGCTTTTGGGAAGGCTGCTATGTCGAAAAGGCAAAATTATCTTTGCCCAACGACATGCAATCCAACAACAAAATCCCACTCCAAATGGCTTGACAGAACAAATGCATGGATTTTTATAGACTTAGGTCAACTCCAGAGTGTATAAACTGAGATAATGCTATTCAAAGAAATCGAAACTAATGTTCCTGTCCCATATTCTGTACTGGTTTGAATCTTGCCATAAAGGAAGTTACTGCTGAATATTTTTTAACTGACCGAAATTAACAGATTAGCCAAAAAACTATACCCAAAAAGTCACTTAGCACCTTTCAGCTACCTTCAGGATAAGAAAGCCAGAAACAAAATAACCCCAATATTACAAGAAATTAAAGATACACTACACTAAATTATTTGCATATTTCTAGAAGTATGAGCACAAGTGTATTTGGTGTTATAATTTGCCTCAGTTTGGGCACTTCCCTAAATTTGGACCTGTGTTGGGAGAGTTTAAGCTAACATAAGTCTTACATCAGAAGAGATTCAAGGTAAACATAAAAGTCATACTGATTTAGAAGCACAATTGAATTTAATCTTTTAAAAACACTTGCACTTTCATCTAAGAATTAAAAAGGTGCATTTTAACAATAATCTGATCTAGTAGCAGATGACGCTAGAATGACCTGTTGAGCTTTCTGTCACCACCTCCAGCCTCACGCTTCTTCTGCGCCAGCTCACACACACGTAAACTCCCAGTGAGATCCCTCAGGGAGCTAATCCCGCAGAAAAGGAGCTCTGTAGGAGACGAGTGAACACTTTCTGTGGGTTTAACTCCCTGAATGAGCTCACCACAAATCAGGTGAGTGTCATCTGCCAGGCCATTAAAATGGGTGGCAATACCTAGTGGTAGTGAAGAGGGGAATGAGGTTGTCTCCTTGTGGTAGAAACTATCCATTAGCTCAGCCCAAGGACAGGACATGTATTGCAAGCCTGCAAGTTCACATCGTTCACCAGTTTTATTATTCTGTCATGCTTTTGCTGGCTACCACTGATCTTAAAAACAACTTAAAAGGAACAATTTTAAGGTATCTAAAAATAAAGATCCATTGAGAACCAGGGTTTTTAAAAAGTGCACTTGGTATTCTAGCTTCTTTAATATCTCTTTGATTTAAAGACAGTACCAAATTAAAATTTAAACAATGTTTTTTAAATACCTCTAAGCAAGTACTCTCACAGGTATCTAACCTCCTATGTTTCCGTTTTTTCACTGCAAGGTTTGTTAAAGAAGTTCTAAAGGTCATTTCCATGGCTTAGGAGAATTTGGCTAATATTATGATAAATATTCTTGGAATCTAATTTTTAAAAAAAAAAGCAATGAAATAAGCATAAACATGACTTTTATGGATCTCGCCATCTTTGGTCTACATCCAAATGCATGCTAAAAATAGTAAGAACAGAGTTATATTAAACCAGGAAAGTACAAGGTGTCTTGATGCAAAGTTTGGTTTACATAAAATAGAAAAGTATTTTTCCAGCGGATGTAAATTAAAACAGCTAAGAGAAAAACACCAGACAAACTGCTCCCCATCTTAAGATGACACTGAAGAGTTGGTATTTGCATATATGCAAGAAACGGATCCCCGTGAAATCGTGCCTGAGGTACCATTCTTAGAAGCAAAAAAATCACAGGTAAGAGCATATAAATAAAGATTAGAGATATATACAATTTTTGGTTAACTTGAGAATTTAAATCAGTTACTAAATGATTACATTAACTCCTAATTTCAAGAGCAGACAGGACACATCCAGAATAGTACCAGTTTTTTTCTTGTTCAAGATACAAAATAACTAAATACCTGAATTCTTCAGAAATCCACAATAATTTTTAAAAAGGCAAAAGATTCTGAATACACTTAAATCACCAATGTACCAAAGCAAATTTTTAAATGTTTTCCTTTCTCTTACTCATGTATCCCAGAATCCATTAACTTAAATTTATTCACATACCAAGAATACATTAAGACTTCACAAATTTGTTTTTCTCCCTTCTCAATTATGCCAACATCAGTAAAGCACTATTATTCCAGAGCCATGAAAGATAGTTGTCTTTTTTGTAACAGCAACCATCAGCTCCCAAAGTTCCAAGAGAAAAGACAGAGACATTGGGCACCAGCTTTGCTGCAACTCATCAACAACAGATAAGACCTGTAAAGTAGCAGCACTAGTCATGCAAAACACCTGGTGCTGCAGGCTGGAAATAACAACACCAGCAAGAAAATTCTCTAGAGTATTTGTTATTGTTATCTTAGATACTGTCTTGTATTTCCTATCAAGATATCAAGTTCATGCATGGCATTTGAGTGTATATATATTTACTAGTTCCATGAACACATACACTTCCCTTAAACATAGCTGAATACAGACTTTTCAAGGTGTTCCTTCTCACGCTGTATCTAATTGCATTTCAGCACTCTGCCAAAGCAACAGCTGTCTCCTTAGGGAAGTAATAATTGTAGCATGAAAATCAGGGTTGCACTTGCTTCCTGCTTTTGCTCATGGCTACTATTCCAAAGGTGGGGAAAAAAAACCCAAACAAAACCACAAACATACCAACATCTGGAATTTAACAGAAAAAACTGACAATAAATACCAAGGAACAAGGTAAAAAAAAAAAAGATCCTTACCAAAACCTGAAACCCCACTTCTGGCCGCTGTCATTAGTTATTATGAGAAAAATTAAATAAAACTTATTTCAGAAGATGTCTGTGACTTCTATTCCAGGCCTGCCTTAGTTCATTCATATCTTTTAAGAAAACATGTGCTCTACATCAAAAAATTAATCCAAGCCCCTATTTACTATTAAAGACTCGAGAACAATCTAGTCTCACAAAACTTAATTGGTGATGGTAAGTTTCTGGACACATATCCTTATTTTGACATACTGGGGCAATCACGAAAAATAACCAAATAAAAGCAGTGGCTTTAAACACTGCTTACACTACATTTCCTACCATATCTACTACTGATGTTACAATGGCATAACTATTAGAACAGATTTGGCATATTAACCCTCATGTTGTTTGTCTCATGCCAAAAATTCTAGTTACAATGCAAGTGGCAGCAAGCACTATACCCATATTAGTATTCTTCTTTTTGCAACCTTTAGTAGTACTTCATGTAAGTATGAGGAGTGGTGGGAAACTTTAAGGGGAAAAGGGTAACTAAGACAAGGCAACTGGCTGCCCTTGTCATCTGCAGTCAACTTAAAGAGCCACTTCAGGTCATGAGAAATTTCAAGATGACAACTCTTTCATAGTTCTCTTCCCACGGTCAGAAAAAAATACCACATGGAAAAGAAATACTCCATGAAAAAACCCTACTCGTCCACTAGCTTTTACGGTAACTTGCACGTAAGCCAAACAATGTACAAGTGTATCAATCACTTTCCTACTTAAATGCCTTTTCGAAGTCACGCACAAACTTATAAGAATGTTCAACCAACATGTATCAGCTGGCTCCAGTACTGTTTTCAGATATTGGTATCTGCAATCCTTTTACCGGATCTAGCATCATTGTCTGAGCTCAGATGACTCAGATAAAAACAATGTGAAAACGTAGTTTGTTTTCATGTTTAAAATCTCCATTGGTCTCCTGCAACAATAACAGGAAGAGCTGTACGGATCGATATGCAAGATTACTAATAGGGACTTTTCTTCTCCTACCCAACAACATGCACGTGGAACTTTCTTAACTAGGTAATACATGCAACACTTACAAGATCTCTGTGAAGCACCCAGTTTGCATGGAGGTAATGGATTCCATCGAGGATCTGGTAGAGTAGGGATTTAACCATAGATCTTGGCAACTGCATGGGCTTTTTATTTGCTTTTGAGGCACGGTGAAACTTGATAATATGCTAGAAATAAAACAAGTAGAAACATGAAGCATGTTAGATAAGTAGAGAGATTTTTTTGTTGTGTTGGTTTTTTTAAACTATTAACACTAAATAATGGAATGAAATACAAAGTTTGTTGAACTTTGCAATTGAAAGTAATAGTGATATGCTCACAATTTTCTTAAATTGTTTGTACTCTCCGAGTTCTTTAAAAAACAGCTGTCAAGCTTTTGCTAGTATCTAAAGACTGGCTACTTACCTCCAGTAAAGGGTCTTAGACATTGTCCTCCCTCCCTCCTCCCCATTTGGGATCCTCTTATCCTCAGCTGCTAGAGCAGAAGCTTCCAAACCAGCAGTATCTACCAGAAAGAGGATCGCACTCTATGCTTTCACACCTTCCCTCCTCCTGTCCAAACCCACCCAGGACAGAGTACTTACAACTACTTTACTGTTCCCCCTAAATCAGAATCCCAGTAAAGAGAGATTAAATAAATATTTAAATAAAGATTAAAGGGGGGGTACATGGGGGGACACGGGACACAACGACGACTCCAAAAACCTCACACCACAACATCAGGGTGAGATCATGTTCAAACATCTAAAAATGGTTATATTCTCGCTTCTGAGTTTTGGCTGCATACTTCATTGATGATAAAGTAGCGGCTCTTAGATTACAAAAGTCAGTCAGCCCACAAGAGGACAAATACCACTTGAAAACATGGAATGCAGAAAGGGACCCCAGCATTAGTCAGTTGAAGGAATGAAAAAGAGATCATGAAAAGATTGCTGAGAGATCATGAAATATTCATAAACTAATTAATATTTATTTTAAGATCAATGTGGAGATGATGGGTTAGGTTTGGGTTTGCTACGCCATACAAGAAATAAAGTGGGGTGAGGCCCTTCTACCTTTTAATCCTCAGACAAGGTGGGGCTATGCAAGGCACAAAGACAATCTTAACATATTGCCATTCAGCAAACAACTAAATCCATGCATTCAGATAAAAAAACCAAAAAAAACCAACTCCTTTTTGAAGGAGATTCAAAGAAGCATTTCAAATAAAATAGTTTTCAATTATGTGCTTTTTGAAAGACAGAAATAATAAATGCAGTTTGCATTTTTACTGAAAGCGATTCAAAATGCTAATCTGTCGAGTGACAAGACTACTAATTACCCAGTTCTTTAAATAGGATTTGTCTAGTTCAAGATCATCCCCCTCCCCAGGTTAAAGAGGGGTAGCCAATGGCTGTGCTTTCATTGGACCTCTGCTCCCTCCAGCCTCCCCCCTCGCCAAGTTTGTCACTACTATTCCCAATGAAAAGGCCAACGGGTTAATGTTTCCTCATGATAAATGCTACCTCTGGCTGTCACCAGTACTTCAGCCACCGACAAACTGTGCTTAGCAAAGATATAGATAATAGTGTTTCAAGAGAAATAAAAAAAGCAAAAAAGCCCAAATAAATCAGAACAGCAGCCTGCTTATTCCCTATCAACAGCAATGCTCCCACTGAGCCTTCCACTACCACACGTACAACCGTGAAGGCTGTATATTAAGAACAGTATAAAAGAAATCTACAGGATTATCAGTTTTTAATATACAAATGAGGATCAGTAAATAAAACAAGCTGTCAGTACCTGATCCTTTAATTGTGCAATCACTCTGAAAACTATAATGGGAAGCCTTAAGGGATAATTTCTGTAGAGAAGTTTTTTCTTGTCATTTGAGACAGAAGATTCTGTGTCGAAACTTCAACTGGGAGTCCCTACCTTCCAGTACCACACAATGATCACTGGATAATGACCTTCATGTGTAATTACAGTACGATTTGTAAAGCAGTGATGATACTATAAACTCCCAAATATGCATCTTTATTAATACACGCTACAAAAAAATACAGGAGCACTAACAGGCAAAGGTCATAACAGAGACCCATAAACCCAGCCCAGCCCTTTTTCAAGGTGCATGTAATCACTAAAAGGGATTTCTATACCCATTTAAAAACTGACCAGTATGCACACAAAACGTTATTCCTTATAAGAAAGGCATACAGAAAATGAAACCGAAAAAGGGTCTCCTGGGACGAAACAAGACACGATTAACCACGGCTGCATTGAGGAGGAACGCTCTGTCCCTGCCCCACCACAGCCCCCCCGGTACCTCTGGAGGAAGGGAATGCGACAGCACCAGGCTGCTGCCCGCTCGGTTCTGTCCCTGCCCTCCTGGGTGACTCCTGGGTTCCTTCCAACAGACCGGGAAAACCCTACCCGAAGGCTTTGTCCCATGACAAACTAAGGGACTGAGCAGATGTTTGAAGCAATGCGAGAATCTGTTCAAGAACAAGACACTATCAGTCAAGCAGCTGCTAGTAACCAGGGCCATCCACCAGATCAGCAGAGCAAAGCTTACACAAGGGTAGAAGAGGGGAAGGTTTCTTCCTGCAGCAACTCAAAGCAGCAGCATCCCTCTTTATTCCTCTTGTTCCACAGGAACGCCTAGGTGAACTTTTGAGGCAGATAATCTGCCCTTACACTGAGCTTTAGGTATGCAAGTTACCTCTAAACCAGAGCTAGCATAACTAAATCCGTGCAATGCTAAGCTAAGTTACCCAGCCAGACTTGCCAGCAGAGGCTCACCACCTCACCCACCAAAGCTGGCACACGCTCCAGAAGGCAGCAGAGCTTGCTCTTATCTGCCCCTGAAATACCACTTAGGCACATTCTAAACCATCTTGCTCTGATGCTTGCTTGTCCCAATCAGAAAGGCTAAGAAAGCAAGCTCCTTTCTTGAAAGTTATTGAACTGCAGAAGTGAATTAAAACTGATAGGTTTGCTTTAAGCAAGCAATATCACCATTGCTACAAAAGCAAATAAAAATTACCATTGCCAATTTACTCTACAGAAGTTTATATTTCATCAAACCGCAAATTTCACCCCATCACAGTTTAGATTAGAGAACACAACAAAAATTAAACTGAAAACATACTGCAGGGCCAAATACTACAGGGAACTGAAAAGCTGAATTTGCCCCATGCCATTGGAATGAATCCACAGTACTTGTGACCAAGTCGTACTCTCAAGAGTTTTGTAAAAAAAAGTAGTTCATCCAATTTCTTGTAGGCAACTAGCCATATGAAGAAAGACCAACACACATAACCAACGCTACCCAGCAATTTTAATGGCAGTGTCCATCTAAGAAACAGAAGAGCAAATAGGTGCCATTGCTGAACAGTATCTCTTTTACCAGAGGCAGCAAGTCCAAGCTTTTTTCTTATTTCTTTATATTTTCAGAAATATATCTATATGGCCCTACCACTGTTGTGGGAAAATACTCCTCAAATTAAAATAAATAAATAAATAAAAGCATCAAACCAGAAAAATGAATGGTCATAACAAGTTGACAAAAGTTTTGGAGATCAGGTGTACAAGAAGCTCCAAAGCAAAGAATGTCATACTAGTACAACTACGCTAAAGGAATTTTTTTAACTTGAGCAATTCTGCTAACTTCTACTGTGGCATGGAGACGTGCTCTTTCCGTGTCAGAACATTTAAGATTTAATAGTTTAAATCCAAGACCTCAGGCGTAAAAATGGGTGCAGGTACCAGCACAAACTAGGATGTTCTTTATACGTAACTGCACTGTGCAAGTGGATGAGGCATTCTCTGCTAGCTTCCCTTCCTGAATAGTCCCAAAGTGCAGCCTCAAGTACAGCATGTAATAGCCGTAATCTTAGACCTGGTACGGAATAATTTACATGAATTATAGGAATTATAACCTGCATTTCCCATTCCCCAGATGACTGCCCTAGCAGCTAGGCTTCATCAAAACCACACTCCTCCTTTCTCTCATTCAATAAATCTTTTTTGCAGAATAGCACAGCATCAAGACAGTCCCCTGAGTTGGGACTACAGATTTGAATCTTAACAGGTACAAAGAACATTCGGCATCTCTCTCTGAAAACCAGGAGCTGTGCTTGGACATTGCAGCTTCTAACCCTTAGGTATGCTCAAGTTTTTTGCTGAATCTTACCCCTAATGAATAACCACTAAGAAAAAACATGAAGACTTCCACAATCCAGTCAAGCCAGACAGACATGTTTGTAGCAAGAAGACAAGCAGGCAGAGGGTCAAACAGCTTCAGCACTCTCCGTGTCTTTTTTCACTGTCACTCCCTAAAAATAACTTAATTCTCATATTCTGATAGACCACCTGACACAAAAGCTGGAATATACCCAGATGCAAAAGTTTAAGGAAGCCTTAATTGTCAGCGCGCACTACACAAGTCACACGCTACAGAACAGAAACCCATCCACAATGTTATCCAGCCATAATTTCATTTTAGGTAGCTCCTTAGAACACTGCAGATGCAAGCTCTCCCTTCTGATCTATCTAAAATGCTTCAAAATGAAAGAAGAAGAATGCATGTCATATGATGTAAATGAAACTCCAAGCAATATTCAAATATATTCAGCAGAAATAGCGACGTTGCTTTCCCTTTCTGTGCATCTGTACTTTCAGACTCATGAATCTTAAAAACATGCTGCCACCAATTGGATTCCAAAAACGTTGTGAGCCAGTTAGGTATCCACTTCTGAAAATAAACATAATGTAAAAGTATTTTAATCGCTTTTACATATTTTGTTTTAAATTTAAACAAGGCATTGACTTTGTGGCAATGGCTTTAAGTCTATATTCTAAATTAAATTAATATTTCACTGACCAACATTAAAGTATACATTTATTAACATTCTAGAAAAGTAACGAAGCTTCCAGAGGCTTGCTATAATTTGCTGTCTGCAATCTCCAGGACTATTGGTTTTATTTATTAACTGCTTATTACCAATTTTCAACTTCAAAAAACCTAATAAAATTGAGAGGAAAAATGGATGAACCGGCTTATTTCAGTATGACCATTTTAGCTTCTGCAAAGGCAAAACCGTATAAATGATAATAAAGTGAAACAGAGCTAAGCATTTTGAAAGAGAATAGTGGTGACTCATGAAACAATATTCAATCTAGTAGT